CAGAGACGAACTTTTCAGCTTGAACTTGTCGGCTTCTACACGCTTGTGAGCCATTTATCTAAGATAAATTTCTCTCTCTCTCTCTTTCTCTCTCTATAAATATATATATACACTTTGCTGGTTTTTGTGTTTCTCTAGAGAACCCAATCCAACACAGGGACCAAGTTCTGAAAATTTCTTAGCCATAACCATACATCTTGAGAGAATGAGTCACTGGGCTTGGGGACTTGGGACCACAGACTTAGAGAACATCTAGGTCAATTGGCATAACATAGTCCACAAAGACAGTGTCCTACATCCTACTTTGGTGTGTAGTGACTGAGGTCTTAAAAACTTGTGAACAGCCATCTAAGATGCAACTATTGATCTTTCCTAAGCCAGCACAAAGAAGAGTGAAGAAAATCAAAGAAAAAAGGAAATAATTAGTCCAAAGGATTAATGGACCATGTGAACCCCAGCCTCCACTACCCTGAGACCAGAAGAACTAGATGGTGTCTAGCTACCACTACCAACCACTCTGATCAGGATCAAAATAGAAGATCCTGAACAGAGAGGGATGGAAAAAAAAATGTAGAACAAAATTCAGAGTCATAAAAAAGATAAACTTACTGGTCTGCTAGAGACTGGTGGAGCACCTATACTGTGGCCCTTAGACACTCTTCAAGCCTGGAACTGAACTCACCCTCAAGAATCAACTGTCAGCCAAACAACTAACAGGCCTATTCAGTGAATTATGACACCAAGGAGGAAGGTACTCCTTAATTTCAACCACACGAGACCAAAAGGGCAACAATTACCTAAAAACAAAGTTTAGAAGGCAGGAAGAGACAGGAAAGAAGGATGAAAAGAAATGAGGAACCCAGGGAGAAAGGAGGAATAGTGTTACTACATTTAGGGGATTACAAACAATGTTACAGTATAAAATGTGTTTAAATTATTGAATAGAAAACTACTTTGCTCTATAAACTTTCAACCAAACTACAATTAAAATAAATAAATAAATAAAAGATGTCACTTTGACAACTAAGGTGTGTCTGACCCAAACCACAGTCTTTTCAATTGCTCTGTGTGCATCTGAAAGCTGGTCAATGAATAGACCATGGTCTGTGAAGAAAAATGAGCAAATCACTCTTAATAGAAATATAAGCAGAATGTTGCTTAACTGTAAGGTGATGAGATTCTGGCTCTCTTACTCTGGATATGTCACCAGTAAAGGCCATTCACTAGAAAAAGACATCATATTTGGTGAAGCAGAGGGTCAGTGAAAACAAAGGAAACCCTCAATGAGATGGATTGATGGAATAGCTGCAACAATGGACTCAAACATATCAACCATCATGAAGATGGCACAGGACTGGGCAACGTTTCATTGTCATACACATACCTCTTCATAGACACCACATCCTGAAATTACAATATTGGGCCTGAAGTTGGTTGCTTTGACTTTCTTCTCCAGTCTGGAGTTGAGATCAGCCAAGGATGCCTCAGAGAGAATCAGGAATGGGCTGGCATCAGGATAAGCAATCTGATAAGGAAACAAATTGTTATTATAGGTGGCACACAAATGAACTTCTCAGAGATTATATGTGCCTGGAAACCTTCACACACACACACACACACACATACACACCCCTTTCTAAGTATTTCTCTGATTCTATATTATAGAAAACCCACAGTGATTCAGAAACCTGTTGGTGTAGTACCGAAGGCATATGACTGCTAAACAGAAGGCTGCTGGTTCAAACCCACCAGCCACTCCTCAGAAGGAAGACTTGGCAATCTACTTCTGTAGTGGTACTGCCTTGGAAACCCAAAGAGGGGTCACTGTGAGTTGGATCTGACTTGACGGCAGTGAGTATTAACAGGAATTGCATGGTGGAATGAACAGACATGGAATGACGTGTCTCAGAACCGACATGTAGAGCTGTTAGTAGGTATGTGTCCTTGGGGAAATCATATCACCTTTCGAAGCCATTGTTATCCCAAATGATTCATAAGGTACCTGGACTTGATGACCTTATTATATTTGATAAAAACAAAAACCAAACCTGTTATTGTCAAGTAGATTTAGACCCATAGCAACCCTATAGGACAGAGTAGAACTCCCTCACAGGGTTTTCAAAGTTGTATTCTTTGTGGAAGCAGCCTGCCATATCTTTCTCCCATGAGTGGGTGGTGGGTTCGAACTACCAAGCTTTCAGTTAGCAGCCAAGTCCTTAACCACTGTGCCACCAGGGCTCCTACCATATTTGATAAAAAATATTTATTCCATGAATATTTATTTTTCTAGGCAACCTGGAAATAAATGTTAAGTAAGGACTTACACTAACCAAATTTTTTTCTTTTTTAAATGATCATAGTAAAATTAATGTATGTTGCTACCAACTCTACTTTTATTGTGAATGTTTACAACTTTATTACTTTAAGGGCCAGTCTGATTAATTTTAAGTCCAGGGATGTCTAAACCCATTCCCATTTGCACAACTGTGCTTGACATACATGCAATCTGTGCAGTCCAGAATCTTAAAATCTCTGGACTCCACATGTAACTACAAGATACTTACATAGAAGAGTTTTAAAACCACATTGGCACCAAATCCTTACATAAATAGCAAAGTAGGTGCTCTTATGGGCAAAAACACAACAGAATCCTCAAATTGAAAAACACAACTAATACTCCCAAGGAAAGGACTTCATTTTTATCTGTTGCTTGTGATCCCCAGTCATTGTCTAGTTTGAACTGTCCATGCAGCCACCTGGAAAAATGACAGAGCTGTGCTCATCACAGAGATGCCACTTGTGGCTGATGAGCTGGAGGCAGACTGCTCTCCATCCCTGGAGGAAGCTTTCCTTGCACAGGACACACCAAACACTAAAGTTGAAGGGTGTTCCTCTGACCTTCTCAGTGGGCCGGAACACATCCTTTATTTGGTGAGAACGTCTTGGTTGCATGTGAGGCTCAAAGTGCACCAGGCGGTAGGGCTGCGTCTTCAGAAAGCTGGTTATCCATTCAGCGGCTGCATCACCACAGTCCCTGCCCTCGATCTCCAGGCTGTGCACTCTGTAGGGGTGGCAGAAACAAAGGATGACATGGCTTTGAAAATCTTGATCCTCCACCATATCCTACACCTATCAGAAAAGCTGGACCAAGCTGTGATGTTGTAGTAATTCCTTCACTATCAGAAGACAGAGCTGTACCCTGGTTCTGCCTCTGAACCACTGTGTAAATGAAGGCACTGTTTTAAGCCTTATTTTGCCCTCTTCTGAGCCCCTAAG